GGCATGTGTGAGCGGGTTTCGAGAGGTGACAGCCAGCCCGCGCCCCTCCGTCCATCCCACCGTCTCACCTGGGCTCGCCGCGCCCGGCCGCCCGGCAGGCAGCCCCAGGCCCCGGCCGCTCCGTCCCGCCGCCGGCCGCAGCGCTCCTCCGGCGCCTCCTTTTGTTTGTCCCTCACTGCACCACTCAGCCTCCTCCGCCCCGGAAGTGACGTCACCGCCGGGCGCGAACGGGACGGCCAGGACGTCGCCATCTTTAAGAGAGGAGCTCGGCTTGCGTCTTTCCCTCGCTCTCGCCGCGGCGCCAGCGCCATGTTGCTTAGGGGCGGAAGTAGCGGAGCCCCGACTCAGCCCCCTTAAAGGGACAGAGACGGCGGCAACCTTCAGGGCTCGCTCCGGTACCAGGGGCGAAGCGGCCGAGGCGGCGGTGAGTAGCAGCCGGTGCCGGAGCGCGGCTGCCGCGAGGTTGAGTGCCAAGGCTGGGAGGGCCTGCGAGCCGTTCCGAGCTGGAGGGTACCGGAGCGCTTCGAGCGCTTGGTGCAATCAATGGGTAGCCGCGAGGCCGCGCCGAAGGATGGAGCCGACCGCGGGAGGGCATCGCGCGCGCAGCGCCCTGGTCCGCGCCTGGGGCACGGGGGGGCCGGTCTTCTCTGCACCCGTAGCCCCCTCCCACGATCGCGCCGAGGGAGAAGAGGAGCCCGAAGAAACAGCGAGTTCTGGACAGAGCTGGGGCTGATACCGGGTCCCCGGACTTCAGCTCTGCAGCTCGGAGGAGTGGGGGTACTCCCGGGTCCTCGCAGCTCCCAGACTGAATCACTAACGGTGACCAAGATAAAAAGTAATGCAGGGGCCGGGCGGTGGCTCACGCCCCTAATCCCAGCGCTCGGGGAGCCGAGGCAGGAGGATCGCTTGAGCCCAGGGGTTTGAGAGCAGCCTGGGCATCACAGCGAGACCTGCCCCTAAAAAAAAAAAAAAAAAAAAATCCCTAAACAGCCATTAAAACGAAAAATTTTCAGGACGGCCTCCAAGATATCTTAGGTGAAAAAAAGGAAGGAAAAGAAAAAACAGCGCTGATCGGTGCTACCGTTTGGGTAAAAGGACACATTAGGCTGTGAGCATCCGCGGGTGTGCGCCACCAGCTGCGTATGAGATGGACAAGAAGTGAACTGTGGTTGCGTTAGACAGGAGTCCTGAGGTCCTGGGTATCCCAGCAAAGGGGAAAAACTTACTACCATGTGAACAAGTTGATTATTAAAAGTAAAATGAGGCTGGTCCGAAGGTAGTGAGTTATCTCAATTGATTGTTCATGGTCAGTTACACATTGCACTCCTTGTTCTACTCAATCCCCACTTCTCACTAAAGCACCTGACTGGTTGTTTTTTTTTTTGAGTTTGAGTCTCACTCTGTCACCCAGACTGGAGTGCAGTGGCCGCGCCCGGCTACCGCAGCCTCGACCTACTGGGCTCCGGCAATCCTTCCGCCTCAGCCTTCTGAGTAGCCCGAATTACAGGCATGCGCTACCACACTCGGCTAATTTTTGGATTTATTGTAGAGATGCGGTCTCGCCAAGTTGCCCAGGCGGGTCTCGAACCCGCGACCTCAGGCAATCCACTCACCTCAGCCTCCCAAAGGGCGGGATTACAGGCTGAGCCACTGAGCCCGGCTCTGACTGGTCTTAAAAAAAAAAAGTACTGAGGCCAAGCAATCCTCTTGCCTCAGCCTCCCAAAGTGCTGGGATTGCTTGAGCCCAGAAGCTCGAAACCAGCATGGACAACATAGTGAGAACTCGTCTCTATAAAAAAATTAGCCGGGCATGGTGGCATGTCCATAGTCTCAGCTACTCTGGGGGCTGAGGCGGGAGGATCGCTTGAGCCCAGGGGTTTTTGGATACGGTGAGCCAAGATCACACTACTGTACTCCAGCCTAGGGGACAGAGCCAGACCTGTCTCTAAAAAAATAAAAATAAATGCTTTAAGTCGGGCTCGGTGGCTCAGCCTGTAATCCTGCGCCTTTGGGAGGCTGAGGTGAGTGGATTGCCTGAGCCCACGGGTTCGAGACCTGCCT